TATATACGCAACTTGCATCACGCGTGCGTGCACCCTGCATTTACCGGGGCTCAGTAACATTAACTCGGAGACACGTGCATGTAACTTTATCAAGGGATCAGCATTTAGCGAGTTCCGATTTGTATCCCCTAGGCCCCGAGGTATGGAAGATGAAATGATGATGATAGTGAGGGGTGAAAGGACAATACACACCTACAGGCGTACACAACATGACCATGCTCGAGGCGTGACTCGAACCCGTGATCTCTGGTCCGAGACCGCTACACAACACTGCTGACTTTGCGATCTCAGCCTTATGATCGGCTAAATATTTATTTATTGGAATTTTTTTTCCTGAAAACACCTCACAAAATCCTCGCTTGTGGCTCTTACCACATACGAGATATTCAATCATCAATAAATTGTAAAGGTCACTTCTGATTTTTTATTTTATATTTTAAGACTGCAATTTCTAGTTTTTTGGACATTATCTTAGAACACTAAAGAACAAGCAAATTCTTAATTATTTATACCAAAATGTAAATATCGTCAAATGGGAGATTGTCCATTATCAACGACGACATACTAGTGATGCGTCATCGATAACAAAATATCGGTATTTACAAACACCAATTATCAAAATTAAAACATTATATAATAATAATAATAAAAATAATAATAATAAATATATCAAAAACCCATAGATGTTTTTAAACATCGATGTTTTAAAGCTGATTTCGTAACTTCTAACATTAAATTCGTGCGCAACAAACTCTAATTTAACAGTGACTCAGGTAATTATAAATTAATACAGAACAAATCGTGAAAAAGTGTAAAATGCGCCTCTCCATGTGCGTTTGCATATACAGGTAACTAATGATGTTTGTATATACAAGTAAGTGCAACATTTACAGACTAAATATATGACTAAAATAATAGACGCACGTATCGTGAATTACTCTGAAGAGAAAGTTTGATAATTTCTTGCTAACAGGCAGGTGGGTTTAACTAAAGGTTCAATCAATACTTCATTCCATCGATCACTCAAGACATGAGAGAAAAATCATAAATAATAAAATTTTTATTATAATAACAAAGTCTTTTTATTTCAAGACATTAAAATTAACGAAATGACTTCAAATTTTACACAAGGACGTAACTCAGTGTCATATTATTACTACTATTTATCTGTAAGGATAAAACAATTTGCACTAAACGTAGATACGTATGTAAATGTTACAATGCAAACATTAAAATAAATATTTTCAAACACCTTTAAAAGTAAAAAGAAAAATGAATGTGGGGTTGTGCCACATGCATGCTGACGACCCGTGGCACAAGCATGAACAATTTCCAGTAAGTGTCCTGAAAGGTGATGGTCATGTGTGTGTACAAGATTGCTTCTGCTGATGCGCAGGAGAGGCGCCGATGAGCTGTCATTTTATTGTGATTGATGTCTTTCCTAACACGGAACTTCCAAAGACAAAAATGGCAATGTTCTAAGAGTTTTAAAGCAGTAGTTTTCTTTGAACGAATACATCATAAATTTTGTTTGAAGTGTAAACATGTCGACATGTTAAATCGCTTCTGTGACAAGATATATTGTTACGTATTAATGATAATTAGATATCGAAAAGATTAAATTTTTTAAAACAAACAACTTGAACCGTTTTTCGTGACCAGTTTCTATGTTGATATGTAATTTCTTTTGATGAATGTCATGAACTAATCCAATCTGCAGGATAAACAACAGAGTATTCGCGTACTGTGGGCAACTGGTAATATTAAACTTTATCTTAACAACGGTCCAGTACAGCTATTCACTGGAAGCTGCTTCCTTCGTTCCAATACTTTATTTTTCGGGCCCCCGGACCGACATTTTACATTTAGCATACGTTGGTAACGAGGTGAGTTAGCGGTAATGAACTCAGCAAATCGCCAAGAGATAATAAACAACAAATGGTTGTCCAACCGGTTTGGCAGAAATTCTTTAATGTGGTTTCTTTCAGCGGTTGCTAAACGAATCCGATAGCTCTTTATCAAATGGTTCTATTTATTAGTCAAAAACGGATTGTTTCATATTCCCATCGTATTCAATTTCAATTTCCTTCAAACGAAAGAGTAGCGAAATATTTTAGTTCTGTAAATTGCGTGCGTAGTATTGTATCTGAAGACCCTCAATTTAACACGAGGGAGACCGTTTAACTGCAATTTTCAGTTATGAGCATGTTTAAACGAAACGTGAATGTATCTACGTCAGACTATCTAAAAATGCTTCTTTTAATACCACTTTCGTCTTTGTGCCTAAGTTAGTAGGCCATTGGTGGTGGAGTCTAGTCGTAGGTGCCTCATAAGGGATGTCAACATGAGATGTAATGTATACGAGTTATTACATGGATTTCAATGTATTAATCATATGTAAAGTCGATAATTTCTTACAAAAAACACAAGGATGCTGAAGCATGTAAAAGAAAAACTGATCCCCATACTGTCCGTGATGTATGGACATTTTATGCAGTTATGAAAATTTCAATTTGAGAGAAGTCCAAAACGTGAAAAACAACAGCTAGCAATTCCACTTGAAATTCGATTTACTCTTGAAGCGAGGTAATTGATTTTTGATTAGTTATTCCTACCTGAAATTGGAGAAATTAAATTTCGATTACACGACGCCAGTGTGAACGCGAGAACTTCATCAAATATACAACAGCATTTGCGTTTAATGTAATATGAGAGAAATAACAATTGATGTCTGATCTTCATTAATGTATTTTTTTAGGAAATTCAAGCCGTACCCACAAAACAACGTTCGTAGAAAGCATATTTTTTCTAATTTCTCACGATTACAGCGTACATTAACCGTATTCTTTTTTAGTAAAATGTTTAATTTGTAATTTAATGTCGTTTGCTAAGGTATAATAAATGTTTTATATTATAATATATTATAGAAATTAATCATTAATACTACCAATAATATTCTGGTAGTTGTCTACGAAAGCGATATATTTGTCAATGAAGGTGCCCCTCAGTATGATTACTTTTCACTCAAATAGTGTTAATTGTAAATGTGTTAACTAAGAAACATACAATTAACAAAGATTTGAAAATTTACATTATTGAATTTCAATATTATTGCTTTTACATTCAATATTCTTGAATACATGTAACAAAATATCATGTAACGGTTCACTGCCTACATAGTCGCGAACACACTTGGTCCGTTAACTACACTCAGACAAACACTATTGAGTTTATATATACGTTAAATTTATTGACACATACAATTCCTGCCATTTATAATCACCCCGTAACACTATCAAGAAATGAGTCTGGACTTCGGTGTTTCTTTGTGTTATAGGGCTTCATTCGTTCATCATTATTCTGGTATAAACGTAAATTTAACAGAAACCGCACCTACATCTTTTTTTAAGACATTTTCATTTTTTTCGTATCATTTTTTATCATCATCATATCTATCATTTTTTAAGTATTATGTTGTTGGTGTTTGCAGGCGGCTGTCGAAGCGTGAGCGGCTGGAGGGCCGGCAGGGCGTGGTGAACGACGCGTTCGAGATGGAACCGCCCAAGTCGCCGTGGCGCTACCCGTTCCAGCGGCCCATGATGACGCGCAACCCGCACCTGCAGCGCAGCCTGTCGGCCGACTCGGGCAGCAGCGCGGGCGGCGACGTGTGCTCGCCCGCGGCGCCCACGACGACGCCGTCGACGACAACGACGACGACGCAGCGTCCGCAACTGGCTCCATTGACGCTGGTGGCGGCGTCGGTGGCGCCCGCGCCGCGCTCCCCGCTGGCGTCGCCCACCACCCCCGCCCCCGCGCCCCCGACGTCGCCGCTCGCGTCGTCCGCCGCCAGCTCCAGTTCGGCCTCCAGCCTGGGGCTGACGCTGCTGCAGCGGCAGGGGTCGTCGGCGGCGGCGAGGGCGGCCGCGCTCGGCGAGTCCAGGTGAGAACATCCGCCCCCCCACCACCACAAACCACCCGCACACTGAACATCTTAATTTAAGTTCGGAGCACACAGTTGAGTTTTCGTACAGATTGGACGCACAGAAAGCGTGCGGTCAAGACTGCGCGGTTTCTTTATGAAAACGTTTGAGCTTGTTCGAAATGTTTCATGTAGAAAGCTTACAGTTTGTCTCGAGCGCCTCTAGCGGCAGAATTGTACAGAAACGGATTTGTTTACCCGCCGCGACAGTAATCGGCCATTTTGATTTTGAGGTCATGTGTGTGTGTGTGAGGTTAGGTGCGATTGTGTGACGGATATTACGATTAACTATTACTTTCCCTAAACCTGGTTTCCTATTTTTCTTCTTTGTGCTCTCCATGGTAAATTAATACTTAATAAAGATCAGAGCCAGAACGCACGCACAGAAATACAGCAACTGAAAGTACTCAGACGGCGTTTTGAGGCATTTCATACAGAATTCCTACAGAAAGCACACAGACCATGTATGCGCGACTTTGGGCGTTTTGTATTTTGTTTGGGATCTTGAAGTTTCTGTACAGAAACTGTATGAGAATCTGCCAAAAACTGAACCGGGAACATTGGTCTTTTGGTACCGGTCAAAGTCAGCCGAAATATCGAACGATTGCTACTGGACGACTAACAGCAAAATGGAGCGACTTACTTCATCCAAAAGACGCACGAATGTTGCGCCTGAAATCGCTGAAATATTCCCATGAGTCCGCGGCTTTTTGAAACAAATGTCAAAAGCATGCGCAAGATCTTATGCTGACACGCGCTGCATATATTAAAGATGGCCGAGTCCTTCCAGTTGATTTCGATTCAATAGAACCGACTGACCCAAACTTGACTATAGCTTAACTGGACTCAACCATACAGGTCTTCAACCGTAAGCCGATGTTTTCTGATGCCATCGGAAGAGGTCGTTCGGGTTCACTATGACCCATTCCCTGTATCAATACATGTTGAAACAAATTTGACATATCGCACGAAAAAGTCCGACATTGATCGACCGAAATTTTGGACAAAATGGGCATCCCTGTCTTAGACCACACACGGACCAGGCTCGAAAATAACATCAACAAAGTAGTCTCATCTTTTAGGCGGAATATTCTTTTCGTTGCTGTCCTTGAGAACTCCTGTTTAAAGATTATCTAACAAAATGCATGGTTTCCGTTACGTTGAAATAAGCTTTTTTTGTGTATATGAAATGTTTATTTTTAATCTGATGAATATTATTAAATGAAAGGTTCCGCTTTGAAAAATGTGGTTAACTCTAAAGAACTCAGACACGTTTCTTGAAAAACCAGTTCTAGGAACTTTACTGTATCTCAGGACTGTGTGTTGTGTATTTTACTACACGATAAAATGTAATGCGCTTAATGGACTGTATTTAGACATCATCTGCCTTTATTGATTTTTTTGGTCGTCTATTCAAATATCGTCCGTGACTCGTTAGTCTTAATGAGCGCTCTCAAATGCAAAAAGCAGCTTATTCGTCGAGTCCGACTTCTCAGTATATTCTTTTTTCAACCTATCGAAAAGAGATGGTCTTGGAATATGCAGCGGGTCGTTTATGAGCTTAAAAAATTCCAGGGTATTTCTTCCAAAAAGTGTTTATAGGTAATGTTCAAAGGCAATTGATAAGAAAGTAGAAAAAAGTAAATGGCTAATTAAATTTACAGGCTTGATTGCAAAAGGGAAACGCACATGCCATCTGCAAAACAAGGGCACACATTAACAACCGCATTATCAGAGACATGATTGACAATTACATAATCAATATTATTTTTGTATTTTTCGAACTCCAGTGGAATGGAAAGTGAAAAATTATTTTTCTCTTTTTGAACATTCATGTAGTACAAATTTTCAAAATTGATCTATCAATTTCAAACGCAATTAACTGAAAAATATTAATGTTTTTTCGAAAACTGTACAAAAAGGTGAATTCTAGCCTTTCGTAAAGTTGATCACTTTTAATACCTATTTAAAAGTTAATTTTAAGCCAACTATTGTACTGCAAAAAAATATTTCACACAATTTTTTTAGTTGAAACGGCTACATTTAGCATTTAACGGAATTTTAACCTACTTAATACAGAAAAACGAGACAGAAAAACAGATATTCAATTTAAAGAATAGACGTATAATTTTCCTTTACAATTACATATTATTGCATAAAATATTAATTGTAAAATACAAATATTGCAGTTTATAGCAACATAAATTTGAGGTAAATATTTTTCTACGAGATTCTTAATTTGAACCCTGAATTTCATTTCAGGATATACTTAGCGTGAAAATAGAAATTGCAGATTTTGCATATTTTAGTGGAATATCACAGTTATATTCGCTATCCATAATGAATTTGAAAGCAAGTCGTTCACTTTTCAAGGAAATACAAAAATAAATTACATATTCTTACTTCGTCATGGTCCTAAGCAACACATTGCGAGCCTTCGAGATATCAAATGCGTTACTCCCGTAAAAGCTACAAATCAATTTGATTTTCTGAAAAGTTTTAGTATATCATGGCCAAATTGGTTGTTTGTAGAGTCGAGATTGTTTTTACTGCCTCAGCCTGCGGTCTCGGCAAAAGGCTTTCTATCTCGGCCAAAAAATAAATTATTAAAAAATAACCACTTCGCGAAGTTAATATAAAAAAACGAAATGCAGCTTCAGGGAAGTCGAAAAGATAATTAGTGAAATTCATCAATTAAATAATTCTGTAATTCGAAAACTCACTTCATTGTATACCTTCTTTATTTAATTAGATTCTTTCGCTCGAATAGGGACCCATAGACCAGAAAACAAAAGCAACAGCAAACGGAGGAGGTGGGAGGTGTGCAAGCCAACTGAAAACACAATGAGGCACCTTTTTTCCACGGGTGCGTTCTTAAACCCACCGAAATGCCGCTGTTCGCCACGCTATGGTACACCGCAGCGGTATCGACCACCTAGACACCACGAAAATGCAAATCACAAAATGCCTCACTAGTTCTTACATCCACTGGTACGCAACACCTAGGTAATGAGGTAATTCTCCAATAGAGTCGTCTGTTATTTTATTGTAGCTTTGATTAGTAGAGCTATAGTTTTTAAGGTTTTTCACGAGCCATTATTCAAACACCCGGCCCAACAAACATTAGAATTTCAATTTGAATTAACCTGTATTGAGGAAAATGTGTTCAGGCGTTAATTTGTTAAAAATAGATTATTCAAATAACTTACGTGGTTTCCTAATTACTCGAAACTAAGAAGTATTTTTGCATTTTATACTTTTCATATTCGTATTTTTGTTTAAGTGATCTTTATTGTTTTCGTAATAGTGAAAATAATTTAGGTGGTGGAATATTTTGAAACTCCTACTGAATGATTAATAATAATACGTAATGTTCGGATCTTAAGAACACTATTCATGCTGATTTGCATCTTTGGTGGCGAATTCGTAGGTAACGAAAACTACCACGTTATGAAAAAGGGTTACTGAGTGTGCAAAGGAGTTCTGAAGTATCCAAACGTTTATTTGAACACACACAAACAATAACGAGCAATACGTTAATTAACAAAACAAACGTTTGTAGTCAGCTACAATAGTATATAAGCTAAAGTACTGTTTGTTTATTTCACAACTGGGTTCATTTGTCTTAATAGAGTAGTTATTTACGATACGAGAGGTAAAAGTGACATTTAATTTTGCCCGTTGGGAAGGTTGCAACACGAGTCGGATAGACTGAGTGTTGCAATTCTTCAAGCAAAATAAAATCACCTTTACCACGTGCATACACTATTTTTTAGACAGCCATACTGAAATTTCCTTTTATTTTAATGCAAGTATAAAAACCACTTAATTGGGTACAATGTTACATTAAGACCATGCGTGTTTGATACAGCTGATCTGACGAAGAATTTTTTTCTTTGTTCCATTTGCAATTTTTTCTAAACATCTGAGCATCGTCACACTTTTAGCACTAGTTCTAAAATTGAACTTTCATCACGCTGTGCTTAACCTAAAAGTAACTAAATTTGATAGTGGCTGAATAAAAAAAATCTTGTCATACGTGACAAGAGACTGATAAAAAATGTTCTCATTCCAATTGATATTAAAATAGTTATTTTGGGTTTGCTCTAAATATAATGTTGGCCACCGGTGTGAACGCGTTAGTTTATTTATAAAACTGCTTTACACTTTCCCACGACTATCGGAGTGTCTTCCGCAAAGCTCTCACAACTCTCGGAACTCCAAATACAGCGGTGAAATCCGAGCCTCGAGCTGTCGAAGCGCAGGCCAGTCGGTGGTATAACCATCCTCATTCTTCTACCTCCATCTCCCTTTCTTTCAGCCTCTGTCCTCTTTCCTTCTTAGAACTGCGACCTTAGACTCTTATCTAAGTAATTAGATATTCCAAGTTCTTCGGCAACTTCTTAACTCAACCAAATAACCAATTTCTTCACATCTTTTGTATTACAGACTACTTAATAAATCTGTCCAAAACACGTATTATCTTCTGTCATCGTGACAAAAAGCTATATTTTCTATCGTGGCCAGCGAGTCAATATTCCCAACAAAAGTAGATCACGAATCCTTAAAGATATCATTAAAGCCCTTGATAGAAATCAAACTCACTAAATATATCAATCTCATCTGTGCCTACATTTACACTCTTTCCACCATTAATATTATTGTAATAGATATATTTTAAAACGTACATAATATGTCTGTATAATTGACGAGTAAGATACTTATAATCAACTGATTCCCCCCCCCAAAAAAAAGTTGTATGTACGTAGAACTCACAACTGCGTAAAACCTGTAGGTCGATCAGTCAGATACAAATTTTAAAAAATCTTTATCTGCTCGTTCGTCAATGAATACCAACCATTCTTACCTTGCCCTCATTTTCCAAAAAGGAGGGGAATATTGCGCGCGGTTCGTGGCCCGTTTGTTAGTGCACTGCTCCGGCATTCGCCTGGTGTTGATTGGAGGAATCACGGAAAACTACCGATCAGAGCAGCCGGACGCTATAATTCTCTGCCAGACAGGGACTGAATTCCACCTAGCTATCTAGCTAGTGCCTAAAATCCTGCCCCCATTGGGACGTGAATCTAGAACTTCCCGATCAGAGGCACTGGAGTGACATCAGTTGATTCCATGAGCCGCCTCTCCCGGTTTATTAGCATAGATTTTACATACGGTGCACCCTGTGATGGAGAACCGTGCAGGGCCACAATCTCATGTGTTTCACAAGGCACTTTCCCGTCTCATCTGCGCCCCGTCCTACCCTCTCCCCGGCGCCTGGCTCTCATATAACGTTGTGGAAACCATTACGGTGGCGCGCTCACCTTCTTACAGGAACTAAAACACGAACTGCTGCCAACGATACTTTAAATGTGCGTGGCTGCTGCGTAAGTTCGCGGGTCGCAAGCAGGTCCATAATATTACAAAAGGTAGGTCCGATGTTCGCGCTTTCTTCAGGGGTTTCTTATATGTGCATATTATGAATAATTGAACATTTAAAATACACTTTTCCTATATCTCACAAATTAACCAATTTGTACGTGGGAAAGTTAGCTCGCCTAACCTGCAGCTGTACCTAGCGTCTCCTAGAGTAGCACCCTCGAGCTTTGTCCCGTGTCTTGATGGAGTGTTGCCAGGCCCTGTGGCCGCCGCGCGCCGCCGCGGCCTCGCCGCCGTGGCCTCGCCGCCGCGCGCCGCCGCCGCCGCCCGGGGGCGCGAAAGCCGCCCCGCCACAGGGAAGCGACGAAGCGCGCTCATGCGCCCGCCCGTGGCGCGCCTGGCGGCTGCGCGTGCCCCGCGGCGCAGGGCCTGTGCGCCGGCCATAAGGAAGCGCGCTGGGCGCATTCGCTGCCCAACGATTTATTATTTATTTCTAAGAGGCCAGCGTCTTTCGTTGTCCGGGAGGAACGAGGGTTCCAGTTCCGAAGATGGCGGATAACTAGATCGGATTCAGTCAGTCTAGGGGAGAATTGTAGCGGGAGCCCGCTGTGATGATTATTTTCAGTGGTTTCTCCAATCAATGCGCAGAGATTGCCGGAGTATTACCTTAAGAATCAGTCCAGACAGTGCAAGCTCTTTCCTTCCTCATTCTTGTCGCTTTCTCTCCTTGTGGATAAAAACATTCACTACACTAACGGGTCTAGCAGCTAGCTGACGTGCTCGAAAAGAGCAATGAACGGGATTAATGACGTAATTAGTTGATAAGCCTGAAATAAATGAATACTAAGATTCCAAGTATCACAAGTTTCACTTAAACGATGAATAGATATACATTATGATCGGAAAAATGTTAATTGTACATTAGGAGGCAGGGAAAACAAACAAAGTGGAAGAAACATACAAACTTGTTTCCTCCACTATAAAGTCCGGGTCGAGAGAACAAAATTTCAACATTGGTACTGAGAAATGTAAAGATCTTACGCGCGCCGCTGCACCGTGAGTCGTCGAATCCTCGTAAATGCATTGACACCTTATACAATATTTTTGTGAGGATGTAAAAAAATATTTTTAGTAGTCGGATATTCAAAGTTGAACCTGTTATTGCAACGTGCATTGAATGGGTTTCTAAGATTTTTAAAAGGACGCAAACAATTATAACCAATTTTATTTAATCTAACTAAATGAATGGGGAAGGGTTAATGAAATGCAGTGTCATAGTTCCTATTTATCAAATATTGTCCTAACGTAATAATAAAACACATTAACTTTCGTTATTGTTTCGTAGAAATACTTCACGAACTACAGCTTAATTTACATTTATTTAAAATTCAGGAAAAAGTCGAACTCTCTAAATATTTACTATGAGATTGGTGTTGTTTTTTGGTGATAGC